GGTAGAGAAGAATGCAGCAGATGACAAAAACTCATTAATTAATGTACACATATATATCTCACATACATTTATAAATACATACAGTAATAAAGTTGACCAATAGATTGATAATGAATGATGAATATGAACATTGCTGGTGATGTGTTGTGTCATAATGTGATAATGTTAGAGGTTGCACTGTACATTATTATGTGCTGCTGGACCGTCAGTTAGTTATTCAACTGGACTTAATTTTAAATCGCCATCGTAGCTGAGGGCTCCTGCTGAGTTGTGGGGGGGATGCTGGCGAAGGTGATGTAAGGAATAGTTTTGCTGTGGGCGATGATGATGAATGTTCATTTCATATTCATTTACCAGTTTATTACTATTATTATTGTTGTTGTTGTTATTGATATTACTAGATGCATTTAGGTTGTTGTTATTATTCATGTTATGATTATTGCTGTTGTTTATCAGCTTTGACTTTGCCGCGAAATCGTTCGAGTTGCTGATTTCATTCTCGATAGATCGATTGGAGCCAAACGAGTTCAATAATTGTTGAATGGGTGGGGTTCTGTGGCGCGCCATCGTCACGTGACCTGAATATTGAGAATTCATTGGATCGGAGCCGTCAATTCTGAACAGAGGGCTACTGTAATTTGAAAATGTTGACCAATCAGCGTTTGAATGAGTCATTGAGGTGGGATTCAAATATTTGTCGACGTCCAATGAGGTGGATTTGAAGGAGGACGTGGTGACCTCTGATTGGTTGTTGATTGATGACGTGTTTTGTGGAACTGGACTTGCTGCCGTTATCATGTTCATATTCTTCAACTGTTGAAATTTTAAAGTAATTAACGAAACCTAACAAAAATAGCAATCAGAAATAAATTCGAAATCAATTTACATTTTTAACTCGAATTACATTTTATGTAAAAATTAAAAATGATACAAAATTAAAATATCACATAATCCGTTATCATCACCACCCTTGTTCATCATTATCATCGTCATCATCATCATTACCATCATCATCATCATCATGCAATTGTTGTTCAAGGGTCATATGGCGTACAACAATTGCTTAAATATGTTTTCATCCTTTTATTCATTCATTCGCTCATTCATTCACTCGTTCATTCATTTATTCATTCATTTCTTCATTCACTCTTTCATTTATTTTTCATCGTTTTAATTTGACCGACCATTTTTTAATTGAAGCATTTTGTAATTAAGACTTTGTACACAATTTTCAATCAAATTGTTTGATAGAGTGATGAAAACAAATCACATTATTAATTATACTATCTTTCTACCCTGTAAAAAGTATCTAACCTAGGCAGACTGCTTCATTCATCTGCACATGCAAGAAGGGTTCAGGCCTTCACACTTTGTGTTTGTTGTTATATCATGCTACTTAGAAACAACTACAAACCCAGAATTGCGTTTGTCTGCGTTGCGTTTGTTTGCCTGCCTTATATTTAGGAAATGTCTCCTTAGAATGTCTTTCGATTGAAGGGAATGTCTTTTTGATTGATAGAAGATTGCAAATGTTTGGTTTTAGCGATAAGGTATGTTTTCTTATAAATCACATCAACTGATGTAAATAAATGATCGACCATACACATACTCACACGCACACACACACATACACTCTTGTACATTAATACACAAAATCCACTTTCCACACATACACACAACACACACACATATTAGAGAGAGAAAGAAAGAAAAAAGATTGAGAGAGAGAGAGAGAGAGAGAGGGGGGGAAAGAAGGAAATGGATAATTATTTTAGAAATTTATAAATATGTTATCTGTTAAAGTTAATTTCCTACATATTTGAATATTTTATTAACTATTTAATAAATACTAAGAAGAATTTTTTTACAAGACTTATCCTAGTGTGGAGTGGTCGCGGAGAATTTAATGTACATTGTGATACGAAAGTATAATTATTATACATAAACATCTTGATGTATCAGCCTAACACATCAAGATGTCGATGTACATAATTATAAGACTAGGACAACGTGTGAACGGCTCTGCCTTTGATGGCTTTATTATGGAGAATGAAAAATATAAAAAGTTGAAATGAGTGAGTTTAACATTATTCTCCAGAAGTACTGCGATCACATCAACGCCTCCACGACTCCAATGTACAACTGACTGAGAAACAAATGTAGTCATTGCGAGAATTTTGGAATTTGAATATTTTCAAAATCTATTAACCACCCGATGAAGATGATGAAAATGATGGCGACGATGATAATGATTATGATGATGAAAATGATGATAGTGATGATGATGAAAATGATGATGGTGATGATGATGATGAAAATGATGATGGTGATGATGATGATGATGAAGAAGGAATTTGGATTTACATTTTATTGACTACTAGACGCAATAAAATATGAGTTAATAGATAGAAAAATGAGAAAAGAAAGAGAGAATTAATGAACAAATGAACGAATGAACGAATGAATGAACGAACGAACGAACGAATGAATGAATGAATGAATAAATGAACGAACGAACGAACGAATGAATGAATGGCTGAGTAAACTAATTCGATGATGATAAATAGCAAAAAATATAAATAAAACTAATGAAGTTGATGAAAAGCGAACAATGAATGCGATGATGATGATGATGGTGGTGGTGATGATGATGATGATGGTGATGATGACAAAAAGGAATGAATGAAAAAAAAATAAGAGAATGATGATGATGATAAATGATAAAAAGAATGATAAAGATGATGAATAGCAAAGAATGAATGAGGATGAAGATGATGATGAAGATGACAAGGATGATGGAGAAAAAGATGAAGATGGTGAAGAAGTTGAATAGCGAAGAAGTTGAATACGGCAGATGGCTTCATTTAAATCATTTCTGTTTATTTAGCATCACTTTGATGTTGCTTGTTATATATTTATCATTAAGATGTGTGGATGCCTTATTGTTATTGCAATTGTTATTATTGTTTTTGTTGTTTTATTATTATTATTATTACCATTACAATTGTTATTTAAGTTGTTTCCATATAATCATGAGTGTTGTTGGCTAAAGATGTTGTTATTGTCAATGTTATTTATTAATAAAATATAATATTTTTGTTATTAATATTCAATTGTTATTATTTTTCCTATTATTAACGTTGTTAAAATTATCTTCATTTTGTAGTCGTTAGTGTTGTTGATTGTGTTGTTGATTGTGTTGTTGTTGTTGATGATGTTATAATATTGTTTGTTAGTTCTTTCAATGCTACCACAATGTTATTGCTGTTATTTTTTGTGTTTCATTCTGATGTTGTTGTTGTTGGCGTTGTTTTGTTGTTGTTCGCTTTTGATGGTGTTGTCACTATTATTTTTGTCGTTGTAGATTTGGTAGTAGTGGTAGTTATAGTAGTAGTAGCAGCAAGCAGCAGCAGCAGTAGTTGTTGTAGCAGTATTGTTGCAAAAATCAATATTGTTACTGATCGAAATATTGTAAATTGTTATGATTGCTATGAGGTTGTGGGCATGTTGTTTCGTTGTCTGGCTTGCTCTCAACGCTGTCCAATAATTTAAAAGTTTTTAATAATACTTTATAAAGATTTTCCAACGAGAAAAATTTTTTCAAATGAAATGCTGGACACGCTCGCATCGAAACATTACGCCGACAACTAACACTAACACAATTGTGCAGTTGTTTTTTATTTTAAACAATTTATGAGACCTTATTTCATCTGACGGCGATGTTACAAAGCTATGGAGATGAAGAAATGGATGATGGTGTGGAGGAAGATAAATTGATACTAATAATACTAATTATAATAAAAACCAGAACTTTTCATCACGTAACATTGCCTATATTTTTCATATTTTTATTTTTGTAGCTGTTATTTAAAGTAGCCAAAAAAACTTTAAAATAATTAAATCTTAAATTTTTGCTCCTTATTAACCAATTATTGAAACTATTGTCCGAGTTTTCCAATATACAAATCCGCCAAAATTAAAACTTGCTTGCTAAAAGCATTGGAAGTAATGATTTATAGGCAATAATTTTTCTACTAGAAAACCTCAAAAATTGAAATATGAATTGTGAATAGTTCAAAAAGTGATGCATATTTTATCACCGCTTCCAAGAAAGGTGTGACCAAGTGCTCTTCTCCATGAAGCACTTCTGTCGTTTTATTTATGATTTTACGACTCTATCAACATTTTCTACTCATTATTTCATCTTTTGCACTCATTTGGAAACAGTTTTTTCATCTTTTTATTTTCGCGATGAATTGTTGTTGTAATTGGGATTGACTGTTTTTTGTTGGGATGACATATTTGGCATGTTTCAAAGAACAACGTGCTAACGCTTATAACAAATCATGCACTGGCAGATAAATTCTTTTTGAACCTGGCAGTACAACTCTAGGCTTACAACTGTTTTGTGTGTTTGTTTGTTTGTGTGTCTGTGTGTGTGTTATGACTGTGCAGTTTTAAATGCGCAAACAAAGTGAACATCAACAAATTTGAGAAGCATTTTTACTCTACTATTACTAATACCAGAATTACTACTACTAATACTACTACTGTTACTTCTTTAACAGACAATTGACTCTACACACAACATTAACACTATTACAAATGCAGCAATGAATACACACATGTACAAGTAGCACTTATTTCCTTGCTACTCTTCTGTTACTTTTACTTCATTATTACTATTGTGCTTACTACAACAGCTAATGCTACTGCTGCTGCTGCTGCTGCTACTACAACTCTTATTTTTAAAACTACTAATACCAACAATTTTATTGACATTATTAACTATTAAAATTACTTAACTGTTGTTACGGCCTCACTTCTGTTACTATAACTTCCACTAATACCTCCAAAATATTTTCTAATTCGTCTTAGCTAGAAACAGTGTATAATTTTAATTAAACAATCGATATTTAAAAAATTTATTAAAAATTATTGGCAGCGTATAAACGAAAGAATGTAGTTACAAAAGGCATTTAATAAATTCTTAAAACATTTTAGAAATCGTTTTTCAAGCGACAGAATGTACAAGATAGGATTTTAAAAACATTCCATCGTAGACGAACCTTTTCTTGATTATGTTGTTGAATCTGCTTGATGAGAATGGTCCTCTTCTTATCTTTGCATCGCTTGTTCTGGAACCAAACCCTGATGACTCGAGAGTTGAGGCCCGTCATCTCGACCAGCTGGTCCTTCATCAAAGCGTCTGGCCGAGGGTTGGCGGCGTAACACGTTCGCAAGGTGTGCAGTTGTTTCTCGTTCAGAACGGTTCGTACCCTCGTCGTTTTGTTGACGCTGCTGCTGCCGCTTGAAATGTTGACACCGTCGCCATGTTTGTTGCGGGAATGTTGAGAAGATTTGTGTTGCCCTGTTGCTGATGTGCTGTTTGTTGCTGAGCATGAGGTAGAAAGTAAAGAGGGTGATGATGATGATGGCGAGAGTTTGTGGTTGTGTGTTGTGCAAGTTGTTGTCGGAGAGATGTTGTTGTACTTGATTGAGTTGTTGCTGTTGCTGTTGTTGACGTTGTTGAAACTTTCAACCGCCGCGTTTTCAAACTTTTCCAACATTAAGCTTGCATTAGACAACTCGTTATCCTTTCCGATGCTCTTGTTGCCTGATATGTTGTTGTCGTTCATGTTGTAACCTTTCATAGATGTTGTGGTGGTCGTGACGTAGTGGTTCTGAATGTTTTTGTCATCGTAAAAGTATCCAGCGTTTGCTGAGCTGATGACATTTGAGGAGTCTACAAAACCGAGATGACCTTTTGTCGTGCAACTCAGGTTGTCACTATCGTTGTCGTTGAAATTGATTGAGTTGTTGTCGAACGAATGACAGTTGTACGACTTGCCACAAGAATCGTTTTGTTTTGATGAGATGACGTTGTGGCTGACGTCGTTGAGACTGCTACTACTGCTGCTTCTCTCATCGTCGTCGTCAACTTCATTGAGGTTGTTGTGGCAGTTGTGGTAAGAATTGTTGCGTATAAGTGGCTGTTGGTGAGTGTTGTTGTGCACTGTGTTGTAAGTGAAACTGCATTCCATGTCTTTCGAGCAAACAATATCACCTGTGTTATGATGTCATATTGTGTCGTTGTTTGTCTCATGTTGTGTTGTTGTTTGTTTGATCAGATGTTTGTCTGTGTATGTAAATGCACGAACACTCTCATGTTTCAAATTTTCATTTACTTTCCAACTTGCACGTTAAGTAACTTTTAAAAATGGATGAACGTAATGTAGGAAGATGATGTACCAACCATTTTTAAGCAGGCAATAATGTTCGCCGGCACCCACCCGCTTGTTACACAAACTGCACGTGAAACACTCGTTGTGGAAGATCCCCTCGTATCTTTCACCATCAACTCCATTGCTGTTGCTACCGCCAAACCACTGACCCAAGTTACCATTTCTGTGTCCACCATCTTTAATGCTGCCAAAGATGACGATTTCACGCACCAGATCTGAAGCGCCAAATGGCTGGCGGCATTTGAAGCAGCGGATGCCTCGAGAGCTGTCAGTGGTTCAACAAAATGTCGTGTGGTCAGTTGATGCGGTCAAATGATGCGGTCAGATAATGTGGTCAGATGATGTGGTCAGTTGATGTGATGCTGGCTGATGTGACATTGGCTGATGTGATGATGTAATTTATAATAATTTACAACGTTGAAAAACGTTGCAGCGTGATGTCGTGTAATGTGTTGTCAACATTCATAGATATAAATAATGTAACATGTTCAGCCGTATACTTTTAAAACTCAATCTTGAGTCATTGAGATCATTTTATGTTATTTTTGATTTGTCTTCAATGAAGTTTTTTAGCCGCATTGTCAAAGTTTAAAACAAAAACAATGAAATATCTTCCCGCCAAAATAAAAGCAGAAGTTTAATTAGATTAAGATAACGTCTGACATGAGAAGACATCATAGTTAATACTGTCTGCATGCTTGCTAATTGACGTGTGAACTGCCTTCGCATGTGTAAACATCAATGCTCAATCCACATTCTTCATGTTAAGCGTGCAATGAAATGTTCTGCTTAAGTGTTGTTTGTTAAGTTCGTTTCTTCCTTCTTTTGATTGTCTGCTTGATTGTCATGAACTTTAAAAATATTAAAAACATTTTGTTATCGAGATGTGGGAATTGCTAAAATTATTAAAGACAACAAACTGTTGATTGTCAAGATTAATGTGACGCATAATTGGGGTGGTATGCTGGAATTTTGAAAATTAAAAAGACAAGTTAACGGAATAAATTTTGAAAATTGTTGAACAATCCTGAGTAAAAATAGTTAAAAAATCACAATTTGTATTACTATTAACATAAAATATTTCAAGATAACTTTTTCAATGGACAAACAACAAAATTGTCAACGTCAACATCTTCCATGATATCATCTCAAACAACAACATCACAAACTTTGAGATAAAGAGCCTCATAAAACCACCAGCACCAACAACATAAGCAATAATATTATCAATAGTCATAACAGTATCGTCAACAACAACAACAACATCATCATCAACAACAACAACAACAACATCATCAACAACAACAACAACATCATCATCAACAACATTAACAACACTAACAGCAACACCAACAACAACTGCAACTTCAACAACAAACATCAACTACATCATCATCAGCAACATTAACATCAACAGCAACAATAGATAAAGAACCCGACGAACTGTGAACTAATGAATTGGATGTTCGCTGGATTAAACGTCACGAACATGCCTTCCATAAATAAATCTGACGTCACTGACTTGGAAATTCCCAATTCTAAATATAGACTCCTTGTGGCGCCTGTTGACGCGACAACAATTAAGTTTTGTTTTGTTGTTTTCCCTTGTGATATTATATATATATATATATATATATATATATTTATAACACCACATATATATATAACGTCATATATATATATATATATATATATATATAACATCATATAAATATATATATATATATAACGTTATATATATATATATATATAAACTTTTTTATCGGCAAAAATCAAAAACAATAATATATTGCTTTTTCTAAGTGTATATATATATATATATATATATATATATATATATATATATATGTATATGTTAGATTAAGACTGTCAGAAATGCAATTATTGATAAAAATCAATGCATTTCCGACAGTCTTAATCCAATTTCCATTAAAAAACCACGGACTGGAAGCAACACCGTGGACAACCGCGAGGATCGACTGGAACACGAACTTGAAACCGAACTTGTGCAGTTCGTTACCATACGCCAATGTTATGATATAACTTCAATGATTTTTAAATTTCCAACACCAGTGTTGTAATTTTTGACGATCGTCAAGTTCCGATAGGTGAACACAACTCATCCTCAACCGAAAAACGTGATGGAAAATTGAGAAGAATTACGAATCTCTTGGTAAACAATGGATACTGCACAGTAATGATCGAGGATATAATTTAAAATAAATTACAACAACTCAGCAGTCAACAACATAATAATCCAAACACTGGCACTTTCTTTTATTATAGGAATCATATGAACACCAACTACAAAACGGACGAATCCGTCTAATAACAAATCTTTTATAAAAATGTCAAACCAACTAACCCTTCTGACAAAATAAAACTACGAATTTATTATAGGAATGCAAAAACATCCAACCGTATCATGAACAACAACGTGGTTCGGCTTTAAAATGTAGCCATCTGATATCTGAATTAACATGTCCTTTTGACGGCTGTGCACGTCAGAATGTTTCGTATATCGGAGTAACTACAACATCGCTAACTAGACGTCTGACCATGCACAATAAGGAAGCTTCTATAAAAACACACTTAGAACACACACACAATATTGGAACTACAAGAGAAATCCTGGACAACAACACCAAAATAATATACTGGAATTCCAGACATTTCCATCTGAAATTAGCCAAAGCCATTCTCATCAACATAAAACAACCCCTGATAAACAAACAACAAAATATTTCAACAATACTCCCAACAATTAGGATTATAGTAAAATAAAATAACAACAATAAATGATACCGATGAAGACACTGAAGAAGGCAACATCGACAAAGTGCTGTCAAAGCAATAAAACACAACAACGAAGCAATAAAACACAGTACCAAAGCCCTTGGTTATATAACTTCCCTATATAAACAAAGAACAAAGCTCTGGGTTAAACAAATTCTCGATATAGAGTGCAACAAGTGCTGAAGATGATTGAAAAATCGAAATAGGTCCTATACACTCGAGAATAAATGAATTGGAAAACTATATATGTATGTGTTTGCAAATCCTCACAAAAACACTACAGTATATATCAAAACCGCTAACTTAACCATCCGACGAACAAAGTTTACATTCAGACAGAGGAACAGACAAACCGAAATCAGACAGACTGAGAGACAAAGAAACAGAGAAAGACAATAAAGTAGAAAGAGAGAGAGAGAGGAAAAGAGAGAGAGAGAAGAAAAGAGAAAGAGAGATAAAAGACTAACATAAACAAACAAACAGAGCAAGAAACAAACGAACAGACAGGCAAACATTTACAGACAGAAAATAATAAAGAAACAAAGATGGAGACGACGATGCATATGCTAACAATTACGCGAATTAAAATTTTTACCGCAACGTTTTCATAAGCGAATATTATTTATAACGCCACCAAACAAGTATTAAAACATTCGTCCAAGTTAAATATAACTTGAAAACTGTTCAAATTTATAATAATAAAATATCGACAATATGCCTTTTTTAAAAAGTCAAAATCAAAACAAAACCATTTATTTTTAATTTGAGTCATTCTCATACGACTTTATCTGCAAATAAATACACAGATATATATATATATATATACATATATATATATATATATATATATATATATATATGTATATATATACAGCTTGCAATGTATAAATGCCTGGGATTTGAATTTGAACGTTTTATTCTTGCTTTGTTTCATCATTATTTATAACTGATGATGGAATGATGAGGCGTGTTTTAATACTGCAAATGATGATGATGGAATGATGTTAAAATATTACGCAGAAAAATAACAAAAATTTTCTTTTTTTTATTATATAGAATAAATTATTTTAACTCCTCATTAAATTCTACACCATTGTAATTATCATCGTCGTCATCACCTACATGTATGCCAGCATTATATTAATTAATTATTTTAATTTTGATTTATTACTATTATTTTTATTTTTCTTATTTATTTATTGCAATTATTATCATGATTGCTAAATTAATCATTTCTTTTGTCATTTATAATCACCATGATCATCACCATCATCATGATTATCATCATGATCATCACCATCATAATCACCACCACCAACATCACCGCAAACAAACTTAATCATCCGTACTTAGCAATACGAACAGGCAATTAATTATTTATTTGATGTGCCTCACTCATCCTCATCAACATCTAATTATCACAAACAACGCTCCAATACCTCATTCTTACCATGGTAAAAATTAACTTAATTAATTAAGCTAATTTGGCCAATAATTTGACCAATAGAATAATTCAATCGTGAGGCAGTTAAACAACTGGAATTAATAATTTGTTTAATCAACTTATAATTGAGTTCAATCATTCAATCAAT